TTTCGGCAAAAATAAATCTGAAACTAGTTTCATAATTTTCTAAGGTAAAAAAATTTTCTATGAATTTTCTAAGATTAAACCAGATTTAGAATTTTCAATTTCATTATTTTTCCATGTAAAAAGCTATTTTTATGTTTAGATATCTTCAAAAACCAAATATTTCTAGTCCAATTACCTCCTAAACTTTTAACTTAGTCGGATTTACTCCCTCTGACGTGACATCACATTAGCAAAACCACCCAATATAAAAAACAAAAGGTTTTAAAAGTTTTGAGAGTCGAAAAAAGTGATTTTGTAGTTTAGGGAGTAAAACCGGACGAGTGTGATACTCCTTCCATTTTAAATTGTAAGATGTTTCACCTCTTTTAGACATAATTTATATTCCCTCCATACCCGTATTAACTGTCGTTCTGGGCACTAAGCCCATTTTCACAAAGCCTGTCAACGCTCGCCCGTGCAGTGCCTTATGGACGCGAATGCCCCTCCCATCGCCGCCCGTTGCACTCGCCAACTACTCGCAATTAATCGCGCGTCGCCTCGGTTCGCTGCGTCGCCGCCCGTCGGCTCTCGCGTCAAGGCAGACCACACACGCTTGCCTCCCTTTATCTCGTCAGCGCGCTCGCGTCCCTCGCCGCCCGGAGGAAGCTCGCGCCATGGAGGAAGCTCGCGCCAAGGAGATCGGTCGCGCCATGGAGGAGCCTCGCGCCATGGTGGTCGCTCGCACCATGGAGGAGTCCGGCGCCATGAAGGTCACTCGCGCCATGGAGGAGACGCTGGACGCGGAGGTCGCGCCGGACTCGGAGATGACGATTGCCTCTGAGATGGCGCTGGTCTCGGACTCCCTCAAGATCGACCCGGACGACGTCGAGATGGTGCAGGACTCCCTCGAGATCGCCTTGTTCGACGTCGAGGTGGTGCCGGACTCCCTCGACATCGCCCCGTTCAACGTCGAGGTGGTGCCGGACTCCCTCGACATCGCGCCGGACGCCATCGAGGTGCAGTGCGCTCGCTGCGGCATGTTCCACGGTGGCGGCGTCTTCGGAGAAGCCTGCTTCCAAGCTCGCCGCGAAGCTCGCAGGTGTGCACGTTGCCGTCTTGTTCATGATGACTACGATCTCACTACTTGGATACTACATGGCATAGACAAATTTGATTGCGAGCTGTTCATCCCTGATGTGGACAAAACTTGAGATGGATGGAGACACAATACTAGTACCTGAACACGTTGAACAGAAGGTGGACGAGATCTACAACATGAAGAAGTTCAAAGATGCAAAGATGAAGGAAGATGCAAACATGAAGAGTAAGGTACATGTCTTGCTTCGGCTTGCAAAATCTAATTTGCTACTACTACATTCTTGCTTCAGATTGAAAAAACTAATTTGGTACTACATTCTTCTAATTTGCTGCAGGAAGACTAGCTAGCAAGTGCTTCGGCTAGCAAGGAAGCTTCACAAGTTATTTGGAATGGGAGCCGATCTTCTCTCTCTAGTCTTTGTTTTTGAATGTGAGGAATTTTGAACTTGTTACATCCTTTTATCTTCATGGCTTCCTTCAAAACGGTTTGTAGTGTCACAAAGATCCTATTTGCTTTGTGTGGTGAGTACTCTACGAATGCCTACATGAAAAGTGAAAATGAATCAATGAGTACTCCATTTAGTTGTTAAAGAAGCAATGTAACAAGTGAAAAAGTGAACAATTTACCTGCTGCACGGCTGGAACAAGATCTTTAATTGTTTTTGCATCCTTCTTATATTGTATAGCTTGTATAGCACGAAAAAACCCCAAGTCTAGAATGTTGAAATCAGGAGAATTGGGTGGTTGACAAATAAGCCGAATATCAAACCCATCTTGCTTAGCAGCCTCACAAAAAACAGGATCATCCACTTTTAAATGAGAAGGTGCATTATCTTGTTGTATGAATATTGGCTTGTGCACATCTTCTCTTGGCCATTTGGCTCTAATGGCCAGCAACACTTGATTTAGCATGAAATCTCTAATAACATCCCTTGTGATTGAAGTTATTGGCTTGATAACTTGTTCACCACGAAGACGGTTATAACTTCCTCTAATAGCATTTTCATAAGTGACAAGTGGAAAGCAACCGATTTTCCCATCAAAAATGCACTCTCCATTTCTAAATCTTGGCCGAGCACAAACACATAAAAACATGATCCTAGGAATGTAATTCTTGTTCTTGCAAGTGCGATGTGGTTCATCTTCCTCGGGTAGCAAGTAGTATTTCTCGGATTTTTGAGAAAGGTAGAACCATTTCTCATCAATGAACACAAAGTCAAAAAAATCCTTAAACTTTGGATCACCAACCAAACCTTGCTCAATCATGTCGATGCACCACTTCAACCTAGTCTTTTTGTTAGCATCAGTGAGGTAAGGTTTGATGCTACTAGAGTGGCGCCTAAGCAAACCCTTTTTCAAATACCTTTATATCCTAGATTTGGTAATACCAAGTCTACTAGACACATCTTCTATGGTCATTCTTTGCTTTAGAGGAATGTTGCGCAATTGTTCCAAATCAAGAGGGATTGCCTTACGGCCACATCTACTCTTCTTTTGACTAGCAACCACGACCGGAATGTTTTGAGCAAGTTGGGTTTTACCTCGCTTCCATAAGCGCTGAACCGATTGAATGTGTACACCAAACTGATCGGCAACAATGCTTGTATCTCTCTTGCCTAGTTTCCCATTTTTGCTTCTAGCCAACAATGCTTGGTACACTTGTTTTCTAACTTCTTCAGGCATGTCATGCTTTGGACGGTTTACTTGAACGGGAGCCTCAACATCTTGTTCTAGCAAAAGGAAAAAAACAAGCACATTCATAGTAATAATTAGCCACGGCATGTTCTAGCTATAGGAAAAAACAAACTCATTCATAAAACTTACCGGGCAGGTTTTGTACATAATTGAAATCAACCGCACCAAACTCGTCTAGTGGCAAGTTCAAATCAAACCCTGTCAAAAAAAAAAAAGAAAGAAAATGAGAAACAAAACTACACGTTGTTGATTTGAATATAAAAAAAAGAACAAACAAACTGAGTACATTACCATATGTGGTGTGATCCTCCATTATTGGCTCATTGAGATCGAATGGAAGATTGTCGTCATCATCTTCTTCTAAACGAACGTTCAAATCGAATGGATTAGCCATTGCAGTACATAGAGAAAAGAGTAGAAGTGGAGAAGGAAACAGTGGAGCACGGCACAGATGGAAATAGAAGAGGTTGAGATGGATAGGATGTAGCACCGGTTAAATAGGAAGGGGTAGATGGACAGACGGCCAGAGAAAACGAGAGCGCGCACGGTGCTATGCAACGAAAAAAAAGCGCCAAAGAACGACCTGTATGGAAGGCTAAACGCGCGCGTCGCTAAACATTCGAAACCGCGCAAAAAATGAGAGCGCGCACGGGCCAAAACGCGCACGCGCATGAGCAGCAACGCGCCCACATCCGACCCAGCGAGCGCCATGCAAAATTGCCACTCACAAATGGCCCAAAGACAAACGCCACTTGCACGTAAACAATTGCCATGCAAAATCGCCAAAGGATGAAGAAAAAAGATGTGGCTGCCAGGGATCAAACCCGCGCCCTTGTCCTTAGGGCGTTAGCCTCACTGCACTAGCCAGTCTGAACCATGATTGTTTCTCATATAGGTTGCATCCACAACCGTATTTAATAGGGGCAGACAGGGGAAAATACCCTCTAATTAATTACTCCTTGGTAAGCACAATCATGTCCTAAACGACAACTAATTGAGGTATGGAGGGAGTATCTAATTGTATAACAAAAGGTACGTATTTTAGAAAAGCCAAAACATAATTTGGAAGACGATATATTAGATTTTTTACACCTGAATACGAGTCTTTTATATATCACAAGCCAGCCCAAGAGCATCAGACCAGGCCAACCAAACTGGAATATCAAATGGGTTGGTTGTTTACCCGGCCGAGTATCGAGTGGGTCCAACCAAGATGGGCAGCATGGAACGACATGTTTGGTGGGCTGGGTGAATCCAAAGCCTCAATTGGATAGGTTGTATAACCGGCCCAACTATGGAGGCAGAAAAGAAACAGAGCTGCAGAACCGAAGGCGGCGGCAGCGTGCCTCGGCCGCGTAGAATCCGAATGCGGCTGATTTTCAGCCGGAAAACGCATGCAAGAGCGCTTCTAAAGCGGCCAAGCGGTCGGTGATGCGAACAAGCTGATCCCAGCAAAGCATAGCGTTTCGCTGTACGCGGGCGGGGGGCGTAGGCCAAATTGATCGGCGCCGATCCGTGTCCTGATCGATCAGAACGACAGAACCTCTAGTGCAGCGTCGACTTGGGCCGCAGGAGCCAAAATACTAGCAGGTTGGTTGGGAAGCAAATCCAGATGATACGACTGCAAGCGCGTACTCAGTATCAAGGAAGCCCGACGAACTCGGATTTTTCTCAGTTTACCAAACTTTGAACATCTGGCCTTCGCATCTGAGTTGTACAGTGTAATTATTTATTTATTTTAAAAAAAGGGGTGCTGCAACGCGTGTGTTTTAGGTTGCATGAGACTGCTGTACTCGTGTACCGGCGCATCTTGGATGTCAACACGCGGACGCTCAACGCTCCAGAAATGAATGCGCAAGGAATGCTACTCGCTCTCGGAATTCGGAAACGCCAGCTACCAAATTTCCAAGGACCAGTAGTTACCGTATACGTTTCACATTTCTGCAGTTTCCCAGTCGCGGATAGCCGGGATACAGATCGGTACCGTACGTATGCCTGTGCGGTGTGACTTGGGTAGGTGCACGGACGACAAGAAAGTGACTTCACGTCACGTACAAATCCAGGAGGAAGGAAAGCTGGCGAGTGGCGACGCCACTCCAGAGTCCAGAGCAGTAGTATAAATATACGGTCTGACGCATGGTATCCGTGCAGTCATCAGCTGATTATTCGAACTCAGAGCCACACTTGACACTACTCTCCTCGAAGCAAAGCCGGCCACAGTTTCAGTCATGAGCATCCCGCGCGCCGCGCACCTCCTCGTGCTCCTCTCCGTCCTAGCCGCCATCTCCCTCTCGTGCGGCGCCGCGGCAGCGCTGCCGGTGTACGACACGGACGGCCACGAGCTGAGCGCCGACGCGGACTACTACGTCCTCCCGGCACCCCGCGGGAGCGGCGGCGGCGGGGGCGGGCTCACCATGGCGCCCAACGGCCTCCGGTGTCCGCTCTTCGTCGCGCAGGAGACCGACCCGCTCCGCAAGGGCTTCCCCGTGCGCTTCACGCCTCTGCCACAGCAGGACCAGGGTGGCAACGCCAACGACCGCACCGTGCGCGTCAACTCCGACGTCGGCGTCCACTTCGCCGCCGTGACGACGTGCGTGCAGACCACCGAGTGGCACGTCTCCGGCGACGGCGACGCCCCAGCCCCGCTACTGCCGTCGGGCCGCCGCCGGCTCGTGCTCACCGGCCCGGCCCGGTCCCCGAGCCCGAACGGGCGGGAGAAGGTGTTCCGCGTCGAGAAGCACAGCCGCGGCGGGTACAAGCTGGTGTGGTGCGGGGCCGCCGGCAGCGGCAGCACGTCGTCGTGCCAGGACCTGGGCGTGGTCAGGGACGATGGGGACCGCCGCGCGTGGCTCGGCACCGCCGAGACCGACCGGGCTCATGTCGTCGTGTTCGAGAAGGCAGCGACCGTACATGCGTGAATAACCGTGATGCGGTGCTCTGTAGCGTGCGTGTATATGCATGCCGAATAATTATGGATTTGTTCCGTTATTGGCGACGAACTTGTTGTGAGTACTATTTCTATGTGATCGGTCCAGGACCCAGATAAAATAAAACAAAGCAAAATTACGAGAGTCTGAATTTGTCCCAAACCTGAAACGACTGAAATACAAATGTGCATAGACAATGTTCGTGCTTTCTGAAATCATGATCTCCAGGTACATCTCAAGATTTTTTTCAACACTTATTGTTCATTAAAGTTTTCTAAGCTTATTTCCTTGTCTTAACGAGCTGTTTGGTTGTACACCAGGTAACGCAAACGAAAATAATTTAAGCATGCAAACGTTACCGGCCGCAGATACAAATGAACTAATTTTGATTACATTTGTGTTACTGTTACCAAACAGCACCTAAGTGTTACAAGATTTCTTAAGTTCCATCAATTCCACTCTTCATTTTAATATATAATCCACAATTCTCTTACTTAGCTCGTTTAGGAAAAAAAGAGAGAGAAATAGTCGAGATAGCCTACCACTGTATGTAAATACGTGGAATGACTCGCGCCATGATCTCTGGCGCGACTAAAAGACTAGTTCATGAAAATTTAGTTTGAGATGTGCTTTTTTTAAAAAAAATATTAATTTTTTGGCAAAAAAAAAAACAAGGATAGCAATTGGAGAAGAGAATTTTAGGATAGGAAGCACGGATTCAAAGGTAAGAGGAATGGATTTCGAAAAAATGTTCATAGTTCAGATAGTACTCCCTCGGTCCAAAAAAATACAATTATGGGAATTATGTAAGGCAAACTAATTTAAAATATGACCAAGTTTATAGTAAATAGTGTTAACATTTATGTATATAACTAGATCTGCTATAAAATATATTCCATAATTAATCTAGTGGTACATATTTTGTAATATAAATGTCAGTACTTTTTTATATATCTTTAATTAAACTTTAAATCATTTTACTTCTTGGAAAGTGAGAATTACATTGTCTTTCATAATGAATGTCTCTTTTTTTTTATTGGATGAATGTCTCTCTTTTACTCTGCTACGATTACATATAGGAAGAGACACTGCTTTTAGGCTTCAGCCACTCAGGATGACGTTAATCCAATTTGGCCCAAATACCCAAGAGTTCCTTGTCATGGGCCTAGAAACCAGCCCAGCAACACTCATGCCGTTGCTCAAGCCTTCTTTTGTTTCCAAATGTTTAGGGCTTGTTTGTAACTGTTTCACTTCATCATAACCATCTTTGCTCTACCAACTTCATCATGGATCAACTACATAAAAAATTGGAGTTTCTGGAGTACCTCTAGAATTGGCCCTCAACTCCACCTTTTTTCTAAAGCAAAGTTCATGGATTTATCCCTGTGTTGGCTAGTGAAGTTGGGAGGGAGCTGGAAAAAGGTGGAGTAGAGCAGTCCAAATATGACCTCAGAGTCACTGGCTTATGCCTCTTGTGCTTGGCTGCTAATAAACCTACCCCTCGCGTCTCGCCACCGCTGGAGTCAATTGTCGTATTCCCGAACATGGCCAAGGATGGTAGCAGATGGGCTTCCCCTAGTTCCTCACGCCACGGTGGTCTCACGATGGCGGACCTTGGAGCCATCAGTCCACGCCCTGGTGGAGCTCACGACGATAGTCGATAGCTGTCTTGGCGGCTCATCGCTGAATCTAAGTTCGGCCTCTCGGATCTGGCATTCCCTGACGACGAGGTGGTGGCGGTGTTCGTCCATGGTTGCGACGTAGCAGTGATTCCTGGAACTAACAACCTGATGCATGCCGTCTAAGTTATGGACTTATGGTGGTGCTATGGTGGTCCTAGACCACGTGATGGCGATAGGAGCTCATGCATGGTGGGCTGAAGCCGCTTTCTTGCTACTATTGTGGTAGCCTATGTTGGCAGCGCTAGGGAGACTTGCGTGCAACTCTATGGTTTTACCGATAGGTTGCTAATTGTTGTGTGGGGTGGTGCTGTACAGTGCGGTGTTTTGGAGCCTAGCGGATTGGAGGCGGTTACCCCATAGTGGCCGCCAATGACTACGCTAGCAATGTTCCTTGACAATGATCGACGTAGCGGTGACTAGCTCGCGTTCCAGCAGCGCTAGTTCGGTGCGGTAACAATGACTAGGCGGAAGCGTCTCACTGTGTGCCCACAGTGACCCCTGTAGTGTTGCTAGGTAGGTACAGTAGTGGCAACGGTGTGACTAATACCAACCTAAGAGTTTCAATGGAAGTTTATGATTATGGATATTTACGCAAGTGGATGTTCGTGCCTCTTCATTTTGTGGGCAATCGACGGTTAGCTAGCGACTGTTGGGTTGGTTTTGTGGTGACTAGCTACACATGCCTATTGCCAGCTTGCAGCCATTTTTCCAACTAGCGGAAGGAGATTTATTGCAGATGGCGGCCTAAGTAGGGATGTCCGTGGCATTGCCTAAAAGCTTGATGAATTGCAACGCGCAAAGGTTATGATGGAGCTCTGTGCCCTAGTGTAGGAACAAGTTGCAATAGTTGGTGCTAACGGGATGGAGTTGGCCTTTATGGGCTGACACGGTGATGACATGTAAAGAATGCTTATGACATGGTCGGTGTGGCAGCGATCTCCCGCTAGTAGTAGCTTTGTTGTGATCGTTGCCTCGATGGATTGTCTCGAATGGCTATGGCAAGTTTGTCGTTGCAATGGTGGTGCTTGGGTGTGAGGTTTCTAGAGGTGCGGACTTTTAGGTGAAGGTCCTGCTGGGCTACTCGCCTCACCTGGCAATGGTCACGTTTTTGGCGCCTCGCTTCTCGTTGCGGGCTTTGTCGTGTGGTCTGTTATCTTTTAGGGCCTCAGTTGAAAAAACAGTGGTTCTCCCCTTGTCGTTGGCTGCATATGTGGACATCGTTTCCCTTGTTGAAGACGTCATTTTAGAGAACCTCCCCCTCCCTTCCGTATGCTCTTTACTTGTTTTCTAAGACGTGTTCGGTGGTGTTTGCCTGCTGGTGCTTTGATTGTCAAGCATGCAGTTTTTGTTGTGTTGGTTGTCTTACTTTTGCTTTCGCCATTAGGACGGTTGTTTTATTTGAGTGTGTTGTTGTATGTTATTTCTTCTCTGTGACTATTAACACATGTCTAGCATTTTTCTTGGTGGAGGACTTTTATACCCAACGCGATCTCAGTAGATGCAAAAACACAAGCTGCTGCCTTGAAGACGGTGAACAGGGTGTGGGTCGCAACATTATTGAACAAGATAGATATAAGACATGAGACATCACATAGGCGTAAGCGTAATGTGTCATCCCTGGTTAGAAATTGAGGCCTGTACCCTTGAACTTGGTCTTGGTAATAGCGTCGATGCGCCGCGCTGACTCCGGCGACAGATAGTTCGCCCAGTCCCCGACCCCGCCGCGCCGGAAGAACGAGCTGTTCTCCACCGCGCCAACCACAAACTCTGTCTTGCCGCTCTTGGTCACCTCCAGCCCGCCCATATGCTCGAACGAGCATAGCTTCACGATGGCGTCCACCACGCCATTCTCCTCATCAACGTCGAACGGGAGGCCGACGAACGCGGCCAACCTCCGGACATGCGCCGGAGGATCCTTCCACACCTCCTCGTACCTAAAGAAGAGCACCCGCTCGGGGTGCGCCAAGTGAGCGCGCCAGTACCCGAGCACGTGGTCCCAGTACGGCCCGAACGCCGACAAGCCGTCGCAGAACAGCTCGGCGGCGACCTCCACCGAGAGAGGCTCGAGCCCTTCGTTGACCCTGAGCTTGTTCGCGAAGTGCCAGAGCGAGACCATGGTGTCCTTGGGGTCGCGGCACATGTACACGATCTTGCATCCCGACGCAACGACGGCCCCGGGCAGCGCCACCCACGGGACGTGCATGGCGAAGAGCCTTGGATCCGGGAGCTCGTCGTCGACGTCATCTGGAAGAATCTTCTTGCCGGTGTAGACTTGGTACTCCAGGAATTTGATGCACTCGTGGGGACCGAAGGAGTTGAAAGGGTGGTCGGTGGCGTCCGCCGGGTGTTCTCTGCGGTGCACGGTGGCGAACAGGAGAGACTTGATCCACGTCGTGCCGGACTTGGGCAGGGTGGCGACGACGATGTCCGAAGGTCGCGCGGTGAAGCACGCGTCCGCGGCCATGGCGCCGGCTATGCACATCTGGCTGCCGTGCCATCCTTGGTGGTGACGATAGAGTTGGAGGTGGGACAAGCCGTCTGATCTCGGCAAGGAGATGACCCATTTGGCGAAACGCCGGTAGATTTCTTGGTTGGTTTCTGTTTCCTCACGGGTTTCTGGCTCGGTTTGTGAGGGAAAGCTTCGCATGGAGGAGGAAGACATGGCGTTGCAGTAGGGATTTGTGATGGATTGGAAATGTGAACTCATACCATTACCACCATATACCATTAGCATCTTTCTTGCCAAATGTTAGCTCGTATGTCACTCTCATATGTCCCACTTAGCGTATTATATATTACAACAGTAGGTTCATTATTGCAAAAGAAATGAGATAGTGGGCCCCTCTTGTTTTATTTTGAACAACGCCATGTCTACCTTACGCTGGCTGACTGGCAGCGTGATGCACTGAACAGAGGATATCAAGTATCGCATACGGTTGACAGAGTTCGTTCAACGGATGCCTCATGTAGAGCTAGTTGGGACAGAAAAAAATCTTCTTCTTTCTAAAAAAAATTAAATTGAAGAGTTTGCTTTCTGTTATTTCTGTTGGGAAAAGAAAGTTGAATAAGATATAATGCGCTTAATGACGTCTCGCCATCAGTCTCTGTTGCTGTGTGGAGAGCCTGGGGGAATCACCGCATCTACTCCATGATCTGTTCTTGAAAAGTCCTGTTGCTGAATTCATTTTTGGTTTGGAGTCCTGTTGCTCGCTCCCTGGGTCCTCCTGATTGCCTCTGTTCGCAGTTCGCCTCAGGTCCAGGCTTTCAACATTTCGGCTGCCGTGAGACACTGAGACGATAGCATATACTGAACTGGTTTCGTTGAGTCTTGTAGCCAGACAATTTAGGCAATTAAAAATGGTACTCAATCTGGTCATAAAACATGTCGTTTAGGGCAAGCTATGTTCAAGCCTTAAAACTACAAACATAACTCTTAAATTATTTAGTTTGAAAACATTTATGGTATGTGCAAACTTGCATTGGAAAACACATGTTAGATCTCATAAATTTGTAGGATTTTAGTAAGACATCTAGAAGACATTAGTAGTCAAATATACACATCATAGACCGTACAAGGTCATACGTGTCAAGCATTTTTTTTTTACCGGAGGTAGTACAAGAAGCATTTTTTTACCGGAGGTAGTACAAGAAAACCCATGCGTCTGTGCCAGGATTCATGAGCCTTGTAATGTTGTTTGATGTTTTCGTGGACTCATAATGGAGACATGGCCACATGGGACTATGGGAGAATGTCCTTAGGATGTGTTTAGTTGCTCGAATGGAGGTGCAAATTCTTAGAAAGAATGTGTTTGGTGAAACTTCACGAGCGGATGCAAAAAAATATTGAGATCCAGTTTGGTTAGCTGGATGAGGGGATACAATTTATCATGTTCAAGAGTTTGACATGTGGGCCTGCTTCTACTGTGCACGCATCCGTCCAGCCAGGTTCCACAGCGAAGGCCGCCAATTCGGCCTCACCACCACAGCCTGCATGCCCGGAAACCTTCCCTGCATGCCACCGTATTTTTGCATGCGCAGATGCAGGAGCGCACAATGCAGCAGCTCAACCAAACGCGTTGCTCTGCGCGTTCCATCCAAACACACCCCTTAGTGGAAACACAACACATAAAAAACATCAGTACCCAGGTTCAGCTGCATCTGAATTTTCAGCATCTAAAGCCTCATGTCTGCAGGTCCAGGACCCAGGATGCCTTTCGCTGGGTCTATGGGAAGCACATCCGCATGCAAGCGCCTCTCATCTTCCACTGATGCCTGCTGTGGCTGGAGCCATTCCTGCTGTTCAGTCAAAGTGTTAGACCAACAACATTTCCAAAGAAACAGAAAATAAAAACCTACAACTAGCTACTAAGCACAGAAGAAACAGACCTCTTCATGAGCATTATCAGGATCATGCAAGTCGGGAGTTACAATCGGTGGTATTGCATCTGGATCAGGCTTCTGGAATACAAATGTTGAATACAAGCCTGCATAAACCAGCTGAAACATTGAGTAAACTGGGACCTTACAATCCAATGCAGCAAAAGGAAGAATTCTACACCACCTAAAATGTCGTAGGAACGAGCAACAAGCTTCCCACGAGCATCCAAAAAACTTGCACCGTAACCACCAAGCATTGGAGCAAATAGTGGTCTGGGTCAGTCAGAACCAAGAGTCAAATACGGTTTCGGACATCCAACATTGTTTGGTAGTAACCATACTGCATTTATTGGGACAGCAGGCAATGAACAGAATAAATTGAATTGAAGAGATGCAAATGAAATTAAAAAAAAAACACTCTACAGAGAACCAACAGGAAAATGATTGCATGAAAATAACATACTACCTGTTATCATCATAAAACTCGGTTAAATTCAGAATCTCCACATATTCGAGTCCAGCTTCCCTTGCTAATCTGTTTCAACACAACCTAGCATTGTGAAAACTCTCATCACCCAACTTGCTTGAATTTACAGAGGTTCAGGTTCTAGGTTATAATGATAGTGGGGCTATACGACAACATGTTGAAAATAAATGAGAGAAGGATAACCTCAAAAGGCTGGGAAAGTGGACTAGGCACTGATTCTCAAACACTGTGTCACTCGCAAATTTGAGTTGGTACTTCTTTCCAAAAAAGGGAAACCTGCACCATATATCACACTATACCAGCTCAGCAAGTCAGTGTAACAAAATTTTCCAGATATATTTAGTATACAACTTGAGCTCATACTTCTCTTCCTCGACTTCAAAGGTAATGGTATAGTTCTCTGAGCGAATGCTATTTGGAACAGTCTTCAGACCCTTATTATGTGAAGCCTCAACATTTTTTTGATATTTTGTCCTACAGAATAAAAAAACAACCAACTTAGAAAGGTAATAAAGAATAGAGTTTGGTCAAGCACATTGCACGCTAAATTTGTACTGGAGAAGTTCAAGTTTATTTGCAGTGAAGCATAAATGCTAGCCTATATAATTTACTTGGTTGGCAGGTGACCACCAAAAAGCTTAGAATATAATTTGTTTTGGAGGAAAAAGAAGAAGAAAAGACATTAGGACATAAGAACAAAATTCATGTGGTATTGTGGTGAGTATACCATATTGTAGATGAATCTGGAGTCATGCCAAAAAAGTAGCCTCCAGGTTTGAGAAGTGATGACACATTGTTCAGAAGCTTCTTTGCCCGTTCTTCACTCTCAAAGCATAACTATCTTTCGCAAAGTATAAAATGTGAAAGATTAGCAAAGCTCACAAGTATATCATATTCCACAGTTCTAGAGAACAACCAACTTGCCTGCAAGTGCTGCATACAGCAAACCATATCTGCTTGGATGCCCTTTTCCTGCACTTGAGCTTCAAAACCATCCTGTCATGCAATTGTAACACAAACTAATTGTCAGCTCTAAAGTGTTTGTGCCAGCGCCTTAGCGCATTTGTTTATGTTGGAAGGAATAGAGGGAGAGTCTACATCAGAAGGATCCAACTCGATGAATTCAGCAGTGAAAGGTTTCCTCTTGTTCTCCCATAGCTCACGGGCATCGTTGACACCCGTTGCAGAGGCATCTGTTATAGAAAATGGCATGATGATCAAATTAACTTGTTGAGAGTGTAACCAAGAGACCATGGAGGGCTGAGGCTAGTGAGAGGCAGCCTACCGATGCCTATGTAGTGGCCAACCTGGGCATCACACCACTTGTCTGTATCCATTCCACCGTCGCAATACAGGTCACATACCTTAGGCATTTTGCAACCAACAAATGTAAAGTTACTGTCAGGATTCTGTTGCAGAGTTTATCGCTAATTTGGAATAAACTGAAGATCATGAAAGAGAGGAGCATATAGCAGACCGTAGCATAAGGAAAGGCAAAAATTCTGATGAGGGCACTCTTGGCAAATTCATATAGGCGAAGATGTGGAGGTTGTGGTGGCACCACCACGTTCATCTCTGCAATTACATGTAAGCAGAATACCAGCGTCAACGTCGAGACAGAACAGGGGCGGATCTAGTAGAGGGACATGGGTGTAGACATGTACACCCAATAATTTTCGCAAAAAAGTCAGAAGTTACTAGGCATAGAATAGCCAAATAGCTTGAGGTAGTTTGGGGAACTCGGTTTCGCACAGCAAACAGGGAAGACGGAAGAGGGGGGTTGGGAATACCTGCTGGGCGCTCTTCGCCGGCGAAGAGGTCGGCGAAGGCCTCGTCACCTGGTGTAGGGCGGCGGCGGTGGCTGGAGCCCAACTAGAACCCGTATTGGGAAGGGGGAGGCTCGATCTGGGCTGAGACGCTGTCGGCGGGGCGAGCCAGGCGGCGGCGGCGGCGTACGGACGAGAGGGATGCGACAAGGAGAACGGGATCAAGGCAAAGTGGTGAACGGTTGGGCAAATATACGTCGAAATTTATATTTGCTAGTGTCTCTTCTCTTCTCTACTTTCTCTCCTTTTTTTTCTCTCTTCTCTTCTCTTCTCTTCTTCTCTAAAAAGACCATAACATCAGTCATCTAACCAGTGAAACCAAATCCCGCCTACTTGTATAGTATCCGGTTTGTGCATGGCTCCGTCGCTCTACTCCCTCGGAGTCGAAGGCTCTGTTCGCTTGAGCTTATCAGTTAGAATGAGTTCTACTTTTTAGTCATGGGAACAGTGTTTTTCTCTCACAACAAATCAGTCCTACAAATTAGCCGCAACAACAATAAGTCCTGCCGAACAGGGCCAAAGTCGTGTGGAAAACAGAACATGAATTGTTTGTGCGAGGCTTCGTCACCCCGCTCCTTGGAGTCCACATCGCGCGGGAAACAGTATTGAACCGTCTATGCGCGGCTCCGTCACGCTGTCCACATCACATCGAGCATTCGTTCTCGTTTGCCTCGATGTAGAGTGTACGTGAGCTAGCAACAGAGTGCCTTCCTAATCGCACTTATATATGTCCCACTTGCAAGTTACGACAATTGGGAAAAAACGCGGTTGAGTAACCATTTTTTACGAGTCGCGTGTTTGGGTGTTCTCTTCGTCGCGATGCACCCTCCTGTCTTCTTCTCCGTCGCTAGCACCCCTCCTCCTCCGCCCCCTCCCCCGCTCTCCCCTAAAGCTTCGTCGCGACACCTTCGCCGGCGTCATCCTCGCACCCGCCCCGCCACCACCACCAACGTCTCCTATCGCCTTGCCACGCCACCAACCACCCGCCCCCTACCCCTCGACCCCTCCCTCCCCTGATCCCAGGGTAGGTCATCGACGACCTCCGCCGTGACGTCCCTGCTGCCAACCCCGCCCAATCTCCTTCTCCCACCGCCTCCTTCTCCCACCGCTCTGCCCTGCCCCGTTGTCGTCTCGTCTGCCTCCACCACCATGTCGCAGCTATTGCCCCCCAAACCCCCTTCGAAGGCCACCGCAGAATATAACCCTAACCTCGCCGAAACCCTAGCCGCATAAATTTTTTCCAATTTTTGATTGGATGAGTTTATCATAAGATAGTTACAAAAATTTGGATGGTAAGGATAGAAAGTTATCATAATTTGGCCTCGAGTTGTATGCACAACAAGTTACTATAATCATGAGACAAATTTAAGATATAATAGTTACAAGAACTATAATAGCCCAAACGTGTAACACCTTCGGTGTTACACCCTAAATCATTTACAAAAATATGTCATGAGCATCATGTTTATGTGTTAATGCATGTGATAGAATGTGTAGATAATTTTTTTGAAACTTAAAATGATCAATAAAAATGCTAAATGAAAGTTGATTCAATAGCTCATGTATATCAAGTAGGGTTGAAAATCAATTTTTATTAAGCAAAAATACTATAGAAGATGTGTGTGACACTTAAATAAAGTTTGAAGTACAAACTTTGTAGATGACAGTGAAATACTTGCTGTCGAAAAATGATATTACTAGCTAATATTTCCACTGGTCTAGAAATTGCAAATTAAAATCAAGTTCAGCTTAAAACTTAGAAAATTTTTAAGTCTATCAACAGCTAGACATTGCTATGTTTAGCAAATTATTTTGAGAGATTGGGTTAAGGGGTGGTATAGTGTTATAGCTCGATTTGTTAGTCTCATATGCCCTCATGAGCATGGTGAAGATGGTTTGGCTCCTGGAGCAACCGTTTAGTCATTTTGGGCGCTTTAAAATTCGTGCACGTCATAATCTCAGGATGGTTGGTGCTGTGCGTGCGGTCACCACGCGGCCAACCCGCGCCGCGCACATGGCCGCATCCCGCCCGGTCACCCTGTGCCGGCACGCTGGGTCGGTCGAGCCGCTTGGGTTTGGCCGAGGCCGGCCGCAGCGAGCTGCTGGCCCCGCGCCCTGCTGCCCAGTCTCGTGCTGCCGTCATTGGTGCCCACTGCTGCCTCGCCGCACTGCCGACACGCCTCACGCCGCGCCGCTGCCGCTGCCGTCGCATCGTCGTCGCGTCCGCGCCTGTCCGCTATACCCCCTGCGCCGCTATCGGCCCAGTTCAAGGCCGCCACTACCGCGTGCACGTGGCCGAGCAGCCGTAACCTTGTCATTTAAGACACTACGGCCGCGCGGGCCGCGCCGGTTGGACGCGCGCACGCCTTATCTGTAGCATCGCACGTGGGTGTCCTGATCGCGCCGCTCACGTCCCGCCAAGGTGAGGACGAGCCGAGCCACCTGTCACGCCCTGTCTCTCTCTTTCTCCCTTGCTCCTTCTGCTGCCGCCGTCAAGCGCACCATTAGATTCATCAGGAAGAGATCACCTCAAATCGATTCGTCGTATTGTTGGCTCCGTCGCACAGCTGCCTAGCTACCCGTCCCCACCCTGCCTTAAATGGCGCCTAGTCAAGCTTCAATTTTGGAGCTTTTCTCCGCCACCGTGTCGATAAGGCCGAGTTCGTCCATCACCGAGGGCAGCTCTCATCTGATCACCTCGAGCCAAATTAGCTGCACCCCTAGACTCATCTCGAAACCCTCCTCGCTATGCGCACCTGAACTGTACCCCTACCGCTGTCCCAACGCTGCTGACGTGGTCGTGTCCGTCGCGGCTCATCGCCGAGCTTGCCGCGTGTACATGGCCAGCCTTGCTCGGGGCATCTCCAGCTGAACCATTGCCTTGGCCAGGTCCTTGGCGAGTCTCTGATGCTCACCCGCTACCTCTACTACTCCCTTAGCGTCGTGGCTCATCGGAACGTCGTCGTCGCCAGCGTAGGTTGTCCGCCAACGTGGAGAGGTCGCCCTGCTTCGTCTCCGGTCTCCGAATCACTGCTATTGCTATGCGCTATCCCGTAGGTGAGCATCGGTTCTCTAGATGGGTCGAGGGGGTCCCCAGTTGCCCGCTGTAGCAGCCTAATGCTGGCCAATGCCGCGTCGACGAGCGCGGAGGCTTCGGAGACCTCTCCGATGCGAAGACGGGTTAATACAAGGGTCTTCTTGCATAAACGCTGTCTGTAGAAATAGTACGCATAGCCGTCGTGTTAATAGAGGATAGCGTGAGGGAGTTTCTGCAAAAGCGCCAGCGGCGCGGGCTTCCTCGCCGCGGGCCGTCTCGCGTGGGCCGCGTCTGCGGGCCCTGTGCGCGCTGTGTCGTGTGGGCCGCGCGTGTGGGCCTTGCGGAAGAATTGTTTTTCTTTTTCATAAGGAATTTGAAATAGTTTTCTAATTTAATTTTTAGCTGATCTTTGGTAAATCATATAAAATCATGTAGATGTTCAAAAATTATGAAACAAATTTTGTTAGGTTCCTAAAATTATGCTCTATCTGTTAGTGTATTTATTTCATATATGTACATGTTGATATCAGGAGCTATTAAATCATTTGAAAATGTTTAATATTATAAGGAGAATTATTGTAAGAATTTTTGTGATAAATTGATGATAGTTTAGTCCTAAAATTTTTATAGTGGCTTCATTGTATTATTATGTGCTCACTGTAATTTTTGTAGCTTTAGAATAGACTAAACATAAGGGTAGTTAAATGCTCTTTGTTTCAATCTGCCTGTTCGTTTGTTGGTTTTAGCCAGGGCTTATCAACCAGCCAACAGTATTTTTTTCTCACAACAAACCAGCACCAACCGGGCTTATCAGCACAGAAACCAACCAGCGAACAGGCTCAATATACATTAAATCATTAATAGAAATAAAGATATATCCTTCATTTGTAAAGCTAAGTGTTTGTTAGTTGAATCCAACGCTTTGCTTGATGAAGATGATAGTTAGTTAGTATGTGTGTGTTGTGCATTTACGTTACAAGAATTTTATGGAAGCCACATGCATAGATATACCTGTCCTAAGAGTCTTACTAGTGCAGGTTCGAGTGGCTGTTATGCTTAGGTTTTTGGTAGCGTGAGTAAGCTGCTGTTACTCACAATAGGTGATTATTATTATTACTGTCATGATAAAATGGTGAAAGGAAAAATAAAGACATGGCAGAGATATGGCATGGGTATTGATAGGTGTAACAGGTTGTGTCCCGCGGCCAACGGGGCTTAGCTTGGTTACACTGTTTTCCCTGTCCATGTCGATTAAGGACCGTCCGTTGCTGTGAATGGTAGTCAGGTCATAGACTTATTATCCTGAGCACATACTTGCTTATGGGAGCGGAAAGGCTCGTTACGTTCTTGTCGTGGGTTCTGACTCTTTTTGAACCGACTGATTGGAGGTGGGGACAGACGAAGGTCTAAGCACCATACTGAGACCGGATCTCAAGTGTGGGGGCTTGGAGTCCAAGTTTGAACGGGGACCTGGATCCCATGACAGGAGTATAATGGGTTTGTCTTGTTTGTGCCTGGGGTACAAACGGGGCGTGTGTTTTGAGGTACCCAGCTGGGATACATTGGTTCGCGAATCGCTGTTTTCGTGAGACGGTACGACTTAGTTATGGTCTAGCACCGTAGTAAGAACTGGAAGATAAAAGATGGTGAAATAGTTTTGATTGCTTATCCCTTCCTTGAAAGTAGAACAGATGCTTACCTAGAATGGTTAGCTAATAAAGTAATCATGACTGCTAATAAAACTTGACTGTAAGGATGAACTATTAGTAATGCTTTTCGCAAATAAAAGAAAATAGCAAACCCATATTGCCTATCATACTCCTTGGAGTCGGGAAGCTATTCCCACTAGTCGGGTAAGTTTTACGAATACATTGTGTACTTAGGGTTTATTTTACCCCTATTATAGGTGCAGCTTGAGGAGTAGCTCTTGTGTGGAGGATTCTTCTGGTGGGCACAGACGGATCCTCGTATCGTTTCCACTAGATGTTTATTTTCATTTCGCTGTTTAATTATCGCACTCTAAACTCTGAAATTGTAATAAATAATTTTTAAGAACTCTGGTTGTATGAAATGGACTAAGTATTGTAAGTTCGTACTTATTATTGGATTCTGGATGTAAAACGTGGATTGTTTCGAGTTCTCCCTTGGGATGTGCTTAGTGTCTAGTGGAAGACGAGTGCCTCTGAAAACGTGTTATTTCGGACAGTTCTGCCACAAAACGTTAATTAGGGTTGGAAGTTACTACAATTTGATTTGAAGGTATTTAGAGGAACATGTTACGATAACTGTACAATATCAAGGCGAATTTACCAAAATTGTGGGTGATCTATTCCGGGAAACCAATTACTAGAAGACGAATGAATTTAGTGTGAAATTGTTATAGTATATTGAATGGCTCAAGTCGATAATTAGAAAAGGTTGCCACAATTTGGTGTCAAGCTAGAAACCGGTTACTATGACGTCAAGATCAATTTACCATGAAATAGCTACGTCGTCTCACAAAGCTAAATATGATAATGAAGATTAAGAGTTATGACAAATTAACAACAAGCAAGCTCACTACTCTAATTTAGTGAACAATTTTCATAATTTTTAATGGCTTCACACATAATAATATATAGAACTTTTACTACAATCCATACATCCCTCATGTATGATTTACTATTTTTCTATGTTAATTTGAAAAGTATGCAACAACAAGAGAACTATGATAATTAGAATATCGTCACAAAACAGTTGTTCTTTTTACCACATTTGCAGAATTATTAGGTTTTTACCACATTTTGCCGAATTATTAGGTTACCATTACCCATCTTTACCCATCTCTAATCTTATTTCGATAGTCTAACAAATTAATACCACCATAAATTAGTTTGGCCGGCCAATTCTGATTCATTCCAAATTTGAGCATACAACATGACTCACTTACCTTCCCACAAGGTGAATACCACCTTCAACAAGGCAATGATGCAGAACTCATTTGGTATCATGTTTTCAGGTTTATAAACACAAAGTAACATATTTATGATCAGTCCAGAAACTGAGTTTTAGTACATACCACACTGATGATACCTTTGTCCATAAAAATTAAACTAAAACAAAAGAACAAGAAATAAGCACTAGAGCTACATTATTTTTGACACAAATCATCAGCTACGTTGGTCAAGATCAGGCTGTGTGCGACTCAAGTCCGGCAGAAAGCATGTCGATCATGTTCAGTGGGTTGTGATGCACGCAGAAGAGCAGCTCTGAAAATGAGGTATGTTTTCCTGCATTTTTTGTGAGATAAAATTAGATTGAGTGAACTAGCCTGCATCTGCTGCCTGCGAACAGAATGGAACGAATCCTTCAATAGTGTACATAGATATCATTTATATGAGCAAAATTACTATACGCAAGTTAATATAGCTACATTACAGTAACTGAGGCAAGAAGCTATGGCATACCAAAGACATAATTCTGGTAAAATAGGGCTTCAGATTTACCATACGAGAATCTAATGACTATGCAACAGTTGAAAAAGCTACTTTTGCAGGTCATAATGAACCACATTGTAGGATATATTTTTCTCATCTTATACTACCAGAATAGAAATCAGAAGTTCACAACGAGAATATATTGGTCCACAAGTGAATCAGAAATCCAGTTCAGATAAAAGAACTATAATGACAATAAAAAACTGTAGAATAAAAAACTATAATGGGAATATATTGGTATCTGTAGTGACAACAAAAAACATGGTAAGTAAAGACAAAACGACATCATAAATTTACTATAATGACATCATCCTTTTACCATAAAGAGATTTTACAACAGTGTTTTTTGAAGAAACTGGAGGGGCCTCGGCCCCTACAGGAATTTATTTTACCGCAGTGTTGTGGTCAAATGACTATAAAATGATTCCCAATTAATTGGAATCCTATATATAATACTAGAATTACGACAATAGCTTCAGTATTTCGGACAGTTGCTATGGAAGATTACTTAAGTGCTAGCTGTAGCATGGAACTGAGCAAGTGACACTATTACATACCCCAAGACTGAAACCTCACTGCGCCTGTACTGCTTACCTGAATGGAACTAAAGAATCATCAAACTATAGAAAGATCAAATTAACCCGGTAGAACGACTGCTGCAACCTGTCGTACATATATACCACACCGAGCGAAACTACAAGCACCAACAAGGCAACAAAAGGCAGACCAAGATACATAGGTGGTGCTGCATGGGGGCAGTTTTTTTAAAAAAAAATTGTTCTCAGGAAGCTTCCTTTTTTTTTTTTATTGTCTATCATATTATATAATATAAATATGCTGATTTAAAAGGTTTGTCCTTCGATCCTGCACGGGGTTATTTTTACTTTTGTTCTCAAGAAGTTTCATTTTCTTTTCCTTTTTTATTGTCATATATTATATAAATATGCATATTTACATTCTAAAAACAACTCTAACAATTTCTTTATATCCTTCCATATTGATATGAATTATGAATAGAGTTTTTGGTGATTTTTCCTCCAATAGTTTCTTTAACTAGATCTCTAAATATTCTTATTTTCTATTTCTAGTTTTTCGGACGCTAGGAATAGAAGCTGGCTCTCCAAAGTGCCAACAAAACATAGAGAATTTGTTGAGTGTGAAAAGATATAAAGAACATTTTTTAATGGAATGGTTCTTTAAATTATTTTTTTGAAAGAATGGGTTTAAGAAAGAGGGCTGGAAATGATCCAAGGCACGTATATCAATGGCACCAAACTCCTGTTCCTTGAGAGAAGGAGAAAGAGAGGACAGTGGAGGAAAACGAGAGGCACGATGCTGTTGCTCGGACAAGATTCTGGTTTGTTAATCACCAATATAGGCTGGGCAAACTGAACTGACGGCAGCAATCGTAAGTTGTGAACTGAACAACTCGAAGGAAACCATCCATATGTGAGACTTTCGATGCATGAAAAAAATGGGCAGTTGTTTCAAAAAAAATGGGCAGTTGGCTACTCTAGTCTCTAATAAGCAAACTAGCACCGCATATCCTTCTGTGTATAAACAGGCAGTAGTACTACCGTTGCTACGAGAAATGCATATCCTTCTGTATAATACAGGTACTGTTATTTTACATTGCTGCAAATATAAAGGAAGAGGAAAAAAAACACATTGCTGCATATACAGTGGAAAATAAAAAAAATGCATTGTTGCATATACTGAGGAAGAGAAAAAGGACAGCAAATAAAACGCATTGCTGCATATAGAGATGGACAAAACGACAGCAACAAAACACATAACGACAGCAAAACCACATTGCTGCATATACAGAGGAGGACAAAAAACAAAAAAAGCACATTGTCGCATACGGAGTATATACAGAGGAAGAACAAAACAGCAAAAACAGAAGAAAAAAAAGCAACAAAAACAGAAAAAAAAAGAGGAGGAAAAAACAACAAAACACATTGCTGAACATATACAGAGGAAGAACAAAAACAGGAAAAAAAACCAGCAAAAACAACAAAAAAAGAAAAAAAGTAACAAAAACAGGAAAAGCTGGACATATACAGAGGAAGAACAAAAACAGGAAAAAAAACAGCAATAACAACAAAAAAATGGGAGAAAAGGTAACTAAAACAGAAAAACATGCGGTGAGCGTGGATCGAACACGCGACCTTCAGATCTTCAGTCTGACGCTCTCCCAACTGAGCTATCCCCGCATTTATGACAATGCAGGAACTGAAAGATATATATTTCTAGTAGTAAGAACACAAGCCCTTAGTTATTTGTTTTCCTCTGTATGTAAGTTCGACACGTACACCAAGAACTATGCCACACCGAAGCAAGTCGAACCCAGAACTTTTCACCCGGAACCGAACGGGACCCTTCCAGTACGCACCACTGACATGTCGCGTGGGACCAGCGCCAACAGACATATCCATTGGCTCATGAACCTCGCTAGCTGGCAGCCAGCAACCTACTACACGATGGGCCAGCCTGAGCCTGTGAGGTCCGTGCAGTTGTGGTGCAGCAGCGGCTTGCCTGCCTCTCCTCAGTTCTCTCTCAGCATTGGCGCATTGCCATGGCCATGATCATTCATCTCGTTGAATCTAGAAGAGCGTCATCCCCCGAGAAAATGGCGCCGATACTTGTTGCGATTGTACACCCGAGTATAATCTGAGGTAGCTGTAGTTGTGCTTGTGCACTGGTGCCTGGTGCTACGTAGAAGATCAAAGAGATCAGTCTGCGAATTTGGAACAAAGTGAACCGTTGATACTTGCTTGATATAGGAGTACTGTACAAAAGTCTGCGAGCATGGTCTGTACAAGGTCGGACGCCTTTTTAGACCGAGTGACCTACAGCTTGACACGAATCATGTCCCCGAAACAGCCTGAACCTTTCAGACGGACGCAGAGCAGGGCAAAAGCAATTCACAGGAGGAGAGGGAAAGGAGAGGATAGCACGGCCTATCCTGTTCCTTGGCAACGACATGTGGCCTGGGTTTGCAGGAAACCAAAGTCGCAGCAAGCTACTAGCTGCCATGAGCGGCCGGCCCATGAGAATACTATACTGTATGTATGAGACGGTGAATAATGTGGGAGTGCTTCATCATTGTTTCACTTTCACGGTTGCAGGAGAAGCCAATCTCACCAGCCATGATCGACCTCAGCATCGATTAACTGCTGGATTCCGAGTTCTCAAAGGGCAAAGGTTTGTATTCAAACAGCAGGCAATGTCATGCAGAATAACACACCGGGACATCGTGTTAGAATTCAGATCAGTTGACAATTCGGCATGCATACATAACCACACCACAGAACAGAACCACCGCACACACGCGGCGGCGAGAACGCACAACAGAAGCTCCATTCATCACAAACACAAACCTGACGAATGCTATCTACAACCGCTACCCCGACCCGATCTCGCGTTCTTGATCCTTCTCCAGCTCGCCCCATTCCTCACTCCGCAAAATCACAGGAAAAACACGCGAAATGCACCCAAAGGAGAGCGGAGATGCACGAAACGAGACGCAAAAGCACGACATGCGGCATGCCACGCGTCAACGCATGCAACAATGCGGCGGCGGCAGTCACCGGGACTCCTCCTCTGACGGCCTCGTGGCGCCGGAGAGCACAGAGAGCAGGTTGAGGTGGTGGTGGCCCTGCGCCGCCACCGACGCGTACGCCTGCGCCGCCGCCTCCTGCGCGGGCGAGAGTCCCCACGCCGCCACGGGCCGCGCCTGCGTCTGCAGGGTCGCCCAGAACGGCGCCGGCGCCACCGCCGGCTCGTGCTCCTCGCGCGAGCGCTTCCCGAGGAGCGAGAGGGAGGCGTCGGAAGCGGAGGTGGACGGGGCGGAGGAGCAGGAGAAGACGGCCGGGGTGATGCCGGACCCCGTGGCCGCGAGGATGGAGGGCTCGGCCTGGCGGAGCAGCCACTCGATGGTCTGGCCGTCCGACTTGAGCCCGAGCTCGCGGGTGAGCTGGAACACGCGCGCCGCGCACACGATCGGCATCCGCACGCGCCGCCCGCGCCCGTTCACCTTGCTGTGCCGGTCCTTGCCCGCGCCCGGGCTCTTCGCCTTCTTCGGCGCGGGCGCCGCGGCTGGAGCTGCGGCGGCCGCCAGAGACATCGGCGCCGGCGTGGGCGTGGGCGCGGGCATGGGCCGGTAGACTTGGAAGGTGGCGGCGCCGTCGCGATAGGCCATGGGCTCCGTCTTGTACGAGTTTGTTGGTGGTGGACAGGGCTTTGTGGGGAGGAGCTGATGCCTGATGGGGATAGCCGGATAGGGATAGGGCCGCGCCAGACCCTTGGCCCCCGGGTGGAACCATTTATAAAGCGGCCTGATTTTTGCTGTAATTTTTATTTATTTTTCTAGCTACCATTATGCTGTCGCTGTCCCTTTTTCTTGTCTCTCAAATCACTGCAGTGGTAGATGAACACCTCTAGTAGAGGTAGTTCTAAGTTTTTTCACTCTCTTTCTGTCACATCAATTATATTAGTGATGGAGAAAATTTGGCATTTTTTAAGAAAAAGCTTAACCTTATTAATCAGAAAGAATAACTTCTACGTCAATTATTATTGTTAGCACTAAACTTATAGCAAAGTCAATTATAAACTTTACGAGCATACTTTGATAGAAAATCAGAAACTCTAATCTGATCTCTCTTTATTATGTAAAGAAACTCAGCCTCTCTTTATGTAAACAGACGCAGCCCCTCGTGAAGTTCATCCGCGAGCGCTTTTGTTTTGTTTACTCGTAGGACTAGGCCGTATAAACTGTGATTGAAGAGTGCAGTCACAGGTATTGGATATCAGGAAACGAGAAGTTGAGCTTATTAAGATAAGAGTGTTCTCCGTATCATTGAAAAAAAATAAGTATCTGAAATTCTGAACTTTCATGTAGATACGATAAATATAGTGAAAGAAAAGTGGGCAGTGGGCTCCATTTTCTAAAAGAAAGAAGTGAATTTACTAACGTAAGAAAACTTGTGCATTGGTCACAGATGCAGTTGACCATTGGTGCATAAGCTAGCAAAGCATAAACTTATCAGCCCGACTTATTAGCCGGTTTTGGATTATTTTCTCTCACAAAATATTATTGAATCAGTCGAAATCAGCAAAAAAAACACCAGCCGAACAGCCTCAATGGGCGCAGTTCGTGGTCTGGTCCGGCTGACCAGCCGGCTGCTCCTCCTCATATCAACCAGCCAGAGTGTTTCTCTCTCACAACGACCGATCAGTTTCAACCAAATTTCAAACCAGCGAAAAGGCCGATACTCCTACCGTCCTACTTTCTATAAAGATGCAACAACAGCAAAACTTGAGTCAGCCCAGATTTGCAGTCCTACTTTTAGCTATCCAATCAGGTTATTTGATGGTTATATAGACCAAATTTTAAACGCTCATTTCTCTTACGTATTATTTTGGCCCATACGTATCTCAGCATATACTGTACGCTCGATCTGTTACATTACAGTGTTTCGGTCTTTCAGTTCTTTTACGGTACGCAATTAGTATCTGAGTAGATGGCTGGTTTCTGACTGCACGTTGGCGTCTGCCTCTGGACTGACTAGATAGAGTCTACAAAAGGCAACGCAGGGACAGGCATGCAGCATCGCTGTAGCAGCAGTGCAGCGCTGTGCACTGTACACGCAGGGGGCAGGCCACATGGGACGCTGGGGTCCGCTCTGGTGGCTCTCACTTTGCTGTACCACGATACAGCCCCGCAGGCCTTTCCCAATTGGGTCCAGTTTAAGCCTTGTTTAGTTGTAGTAATTTGGATTTTATGGCTACGGTAGCACGTTCGTTTTTATTTGGCAAATAGTATTTAAACATGGATTATTAGGCTCAAAACGTTCATCTCGTAATTTCCCACCAAACTGTGCAATTAGTTTATCTTTTCGTCTACATTTAATACTCCATACACGGGCCGTAACATTCGATGTGACAGGTACTGTAGCAACTTTTTGAAAATTAGGGTGAAACTAAACACGCCGTTAGTTTGCAAAAAATTTTGCAAAATTTTTCACATTTCCCGTTACATCAAATCTTTGGACACATGCATGAAGTATTAAATATAAATAAAAAATAAAACTAATTACATAGTTTAGACGAAATCCACGAGACGAATCTTTTAAACCTAATTAAACTATGATTGGACACTATTTGCCAAATAACAATGAAAACATTACGGTACTCATTTTGCAAAAAAATTTACATCTAAACAAGCCCTTGGCATTTGGCAAGCCTCTAGCCGCGTCGGCGTTGCAGCACGCGATTTCATCGTACTAGACTACTACTAGTGTGTCATCGACCATGTCATTAACAAGTCTGATTGTACTTTAGAGGCGAGAAATTAGTAAACAAGGGACCTAGAGACCAACTCTTCAGGTCTCAATTTACATCATGTTTGCGTGATCATTTCTATGGCTTATAAGTCAGCTGATATTGTTTTATTGTAAGAGAAAAAACATTGTATCATAGCTGATAAATATAGCTAATACGATTAAGCGAACATGTGTAACCTGAAGCTGTTTTTTTTCTTTTATATATGTCCAGCCCTACCATACGAGGAGATTGAATATGCATCAACATAAAAAAGATTCGCCGCGCCTCGATGGTTGAAGATGGCGACCAAGCTAAGCAGAGGTGAGAGGTCGTTCTCGCTCAAAAAGGGCGAACCTGATACGCAGAATGAAGGCACCGTCACAGGTCATTTTCAAACAATAAAGGGCCAGGATACGCGTGCAGGGAGGGGCGAGATACTGCCGGCGACAATCCAAGAAGGGATAGAGCCCGGAGCCCCGCCGGACTTGAATCAGAACTCGGTCCAGAGCTGCGGCAGCGAACGGTGAGCCCGTCGTAGTAGATGCAGCGCCCAGCGCTCGCTGCAGACATGCCACGCCCTGCACAGCTACGGCACGGGGTCCAGGTGCGTGTGGAGCCGGCCCCGGGACCGGGAGCGCGCGGCTGGCTGGATCATCGGCAGGACTGACGGTTCGGTGGCCTGGCCCCATGACGCAACAAGGCAACGGGTCACAGTTGCGCCCAGCCTGGACCACCTGCTGTGGTTCAGCTGCGCTGCGCTGCGCTCGTCGTGCCCGCGCGGAACACCGCTTGCGTTTGTGTAGGGTGCACGCCACATTCCGGTCAGTCAGGAATTGACTCCGCGTTTTTATTCCGGTGACTATGGATTGAAATAATTGAGGCAATTGCTGCTGGGTGTCCAGTTCTGCGAGGAACCAGTAATTATTCCTGTCATCTACTCCTCTATTTAAGTCTTATTTAAATCATAATGTAAAGTTTTGGCTGTTATATCGGGTGTCATATGGAGGTATCGCATGAGGTATTTGGATACTAATAAAAAAATAAATTACAGAATCCGACAGTAATCCACAAGACGAATTTATTAAGGCTAATTAATCTATCATTAGCATATGTGTTACTGTAGCACTATATTGTTAAATCATGGACTAATTAGGCTTAAAAAATTCGTCTCGCAAATTAGTTGCAAACTGTGCAATTAGTTATTTTTTAATTTATATTTAATACTCTATATATGTGTCCAAACATTCGATGGGATATGGTGTAAATTTTAGAGAAAGTAAACAAGGCCTTAGACATACAATCTCCTCTCTTTTTTCACGATCGTAAATTTTCACCAAGAACAATGTTTTTCTCACACAAAACCACCAAGAAGCGTTATTCATTAAGCGATAGATCTCCCGTTTTTGTAACAATTACAAGGACACACCTTGGGACGTTATTCATTAAGCAGAAGTAGAGTTTTTGTAACATTACAAGGACACACCAGGTATGGCAGAACCGTCTAATTTAATGTCTCTCAGGAGTACTCGCCTTTCATTAGACACTAAGTACCTAAGGGAGAACAACAAATGATGCGGTTCCGTCGGGCACACCCCATGACAGAACCCGAAAATCCATATTTTTTCATCAGAATCACAAATAAGAAAATAAAGCTTACATCATTATTGCCATTTCTTACATCACTTTTCATGTAACATCAGAGTATATTATTTATTATTTATAATTGCGGAATATGAATGTGTTATCAGAGTTATGAACAATTTAAATTAACAGCGGAAATATAAACACGTGATCAGAATTACATCGAAAATAAATATCTATTTATGAAATAATGAAGCATTGATATATAAACTATGACAACATATTATAAAACTTTTATTTATAAAAATATTTAGTGAGAGTTATAAATAAAAATTATGATCACAGCGTAAAGGAAATCCTCTCTGAACCCACTAGGAGGAATCCACACACAAGAGTCAGCTCTAGCATCCACCTGTCATCTGCAACAGGGGAAAATAAAACCCTGAGTACTTAATTGTACTCAGCAAGACTTATCTGACAGGAAAAAGGAAAAGACTTTAAGGATATGCAAGGCTATCTGACTGATGGGTTTATTGCATCTGCAGGAGCATTATTAAATGTACGTCCTTATATTCGATTCTTATTAGCAGTCGCATTAGTTCATTAACTAACCATTCTATGTAAGCACCTGTGTTACTTTCGGGCAGGTGGTAAGCAATCAGATTTTTTCTTTTACCATCTTTCATCTTTCAGTTCTTACTACGGTGCTAGAGTGTAGATAAGCCGTACCGAATTGTCCGACGATTCGCGAATCAATGCCCCCAGCAGGGTACCCAAAAACACACGCCCCGTTTGTACCCCAGGCACAAGCAGGACCAACCCACTATCCTCCTATCACGGGGTCCAAGTCCCCGTCTAAACTGGGACTCCAAGCTCCTGCCCCTGAGTCCCGAACTCAATGCGGTGCAAGGCCTCCACCCAAAAACCACCCTGACAGTCGGTCCGGAAAGAGCCAGAACCCATGACAAGAGAGTAACAAGTCTTTCCTGCGCCCATACCCAAGTATGTGCTCGGGATAATAAGTTTGTGACTTGCCTAGAGTCCAATGTAACGGCCGATCCTTAACCGACACAGATAGGAAAAATAGTGTAACCAAGCTATGCTCCGTTGGCCGCAGGACACAACCTCTTACACCCACTAATACCCTAAACATATCCCTGCCTGGTCTCCATTTTCCTTTCCACCATTTTTATATATTCCAAGTGATAATAATACAATAATATATTTCTTATCTCTCGCGAGTGACAAACAACCACTCAACTTCTACCAGAGTCCTGTAGCATAGCAATCTACACG